GCCGCAATGCATTATGGGATATGCTGGGCCGGGAAGGATCCATCAGACCTGTCCTTCGATTCAGGCCAAAGGAAGGACGTATTTGTCGGCCACATCGGAGGAGTCTTAGGTTTTGGACGTCCTTCGTCGCGGCGCTGTGACGTATGCGGCCGACAAATTCAACCTTCGGAGGACCCGTCCTGCCGTTTTGGGCACAGCCCAGGTGTGTAAGAGCAGAGGAACCTGTAAACCAGGTGCGATGGTGGTCCTCAAGCCTGGACACCCCTGAAGCAGTTTTAAAGGGACACTAAGACTGTGGTGACACCAACAACAGTAGTTATTTATCTGACAGAGCTGAGTGAAGACACAACTAAAACTCTGTGGTTTGTCAGGCTGAAGACTCATCTGGTAGTTTCTGGATCTTCTCACATTACAGTGCTTGTTGTGTTCTTTGAGAAGCTGATCTCCACAGGTGTGTGTTGACATGAGAGYAGGCTCACAGACGCAGGTTGATGACATCATCTTAAAGCTCCAGTGCTTCAGTCATATGGGACATGAAGACAGCAGTATGGCTGTGTCTCAATCCAGGGGCTGGGTCCTCATCAGTGCACATTTGTTGGCAGCATACGTCATTGCCCCGCACCGAGGACTGTCCCAATTCAAAGGCTCCTCATCATGTGGCCGAGGAATGCGTCCTACTTCCTGTCGAAATCCGAGGATGCATCCTTGTATCCTTACCAGCCGAGGATATCCCAGGATTCARTGCAGCAAAATAATCTGAGAAATGAAGACGGAGGTGTTTTTATTTTTTAACGTGTCAGCGCAGTTTGGAAATTCACCACGGACCGAAGGATTTGTTTCTTAAAAGTTTAGCAACTTAGCTGATGAAATTTATGCTGCAATAAGATGTTAAATAAAAGAAAATTCAACTACAAGTTACGAAAATAAAGTATTATAAGAATAAAATCATAACATTACGAGAATAAAGTCATAATATTATGAGAATAAAATCGTAATATTACGAGGTTAAAGTCATACTACAAGAAAAAAGTCTTAATATCCTAGCCTTTACGTGAAAAAGCATGCAGTCATCACTGCATTAAAATGAGGATGTTGTCAAGTTGTTCTTTATTGTTCATACTGTAAATAAATAGTTATCTTTTAGCATCCAATTATCAGTAGCAGGACATGGAAATTGTGCAAACAGCTATATGATAAACTGAAGCTGTATTGTAATTAATAGATGCATTGATAGATTGAGTCATCACATAGTTAATTTGGAAGAAAGCTCATTAATCTAACAGTGATCAGGTCTTCATGGACTACTTTATAAACACAGAGAAACACTTGGCTGTACACAGAAGGTATGAGGGGAAAAATTACTTCAGCAAACAAATAACAAAAAATAAATAAATAAAAAGACAAAACAAATAACACTGTAATAGAAACGAACAAATAATTAGACAATATCGTGTCAAAGAAACATGATCACAACATATTCAAATGAAAAGGAGCAGAAAGAAGAATAAAATCTTATAATAT